AGTCATATTTATAATTTCCCCTGCCTGGGTATAGAGTACATATGCAATAGTTGAACTAGACTCTAGGACCATCTGTTATGAATCTAATTATTCCTGGTCCCAAATACTGATTTAATAACAATAATATTGTTCCAAATTGGGGATAATTTTGTATTTGCTTGTTAATTGAGTGATGTAATTGTAGTGTGTGTTTTAGATCAATGATCTTTGAGATAAAGGAACAGACTCATCACAGAAGTAAGCAAGAACAAAAGCGGGAAAGGTAGATACTATGAGATAACCAAGAAATTCCCAGAAAAATCCTAAAGAAGCTGGGACAAAGATATCTCCCAGAGAAAAGAGTCTGTTCCTAGAGCCAGAAGCCTAGATTTGGATGATGAGAAATCATGTGTCTCGTCAGTCACTAAAACACACTTTGGAGATAGTTCTGTTACAGCAGCTGCACGAATCTAAGACACTGTTCTAAAGCTCAAATTCTACCCCATTCCCTATTTAACATATTGCTATCTGAGTTTTCTGATCAATTTTGCTGAAAGATATTCATTTCTAATTAATATAATTTTTAGACAGTGTTTCATGATGAAAGAAACTATCCTAGCATTGACCAGACACAAACAAAAAACTTTGTGTTTTTGGTTTCATTTAGTTAGAATTATTTATAGATAAAATTAGAACTAATATTTAGTTTTTTATGGAAGAATGTTTATAATGGAAGGACATGAATGTAAATAAAATCAGATAAGAGATATTTTACTAGCTGAATAAAATGAATTACTTTCGAACAAAAACAGTGTCAAATTACATGTAATTATAGTGCTAACGACAAATGAATCTCATCTTCTCATCTTGACAATGTTGGCAATTAGTTTGAATTCTATGTTAGTCATTAATTTTGATTATGAGTTTAGAAAGAACTAAATTGACATTCATTACCAACATTCTCTAAAAGTCTTAAAACAATGAAGAATATCCCCTTTAATATATCATGATTACTAATGAACTAATTATATGCTAGGCCCATTCACCTGCCATTTAATTTAATGATGACAAGGTGTCTTTTTATGTCTGTGGCCTACAAATTTAATAAGCACACACTTGAGTTCTACCATCAGGTGAATCATTACAAATGGAGGCAGTCAGAAAACAAGCAAGGGTCTTGAATATCTAATGCCCATAGAGTCTACACATCAATTCTACACTACTAGTATTGACAGAATCAGCCTCAATGTGTCAACAGTCTGAATAGCATGTTTCTTTTATGTTTTTTCTCTTTAAAAAATCCACCAAACTTTTATGCTAAATAGTATCGGCTCATATAGTTAATACTTTCTAAGGTATTGTCCACAGATTCCTGCCTTTCTGAGAGTCGGAAAGGCCATGTATGGAGGGAAGGGAGGCAGGGAGCCAGGGAGGCAGGAAGAAAGGAGAAAGGGAGAGAAAGGAGAGAGGAGAGAGGAGGGATGAGAGAGAGGGGAGAGAGACAGAGAGAGAGAAAGAGAGAGAGAGAAAGAAAAAGAGAGAGAGAGAGATCCAATTGATTCCAGCTCCTAGTGACTCTTCTAAGGCTGTACATCTTTAAGGGAACTGAGAGCCTCCCATCTCTCTTTCAGAGTAATTGATGAGTTTGACCTGCCAAACTGGAGGTGAAGCTAGTAGTCTGATGCTTACACAATGTCACCAGGGTTCCAAACCCAAATCCATGGCTATTGAGTTGATTTTATGTCAAATCATACTGACCTTATATGGGGTTTGTGAGACTGTAAATCTTTAAAGGTAAATATAGATTCATCATACTATTGGGTTAGAACTTCCTACCTGGAGGGTTGCAACCTGAAGTCTAATAGAGATAGCACTACAGATGTGTCTTTTCAACTGGGTCATCATCTCCATTAATTATGTAAATACAATGGTAGGCAAATTAATTGTGCATACACAGTTTAAGTCAAATGGCAATGGACAATAGAAAGGAATAAAAACAAAAAGGCAGTGCCACTGAAATGAGGTATTAATGAAATAGTAAATTTCTAGAAAATCAGTTTTACATACTTTGTGCTTTATTTGGCTTTTAATTTTTCTGTGTTTTTTTCTCTTATTATCATTTTCTTTCATATTAAGGCTTACTACTGTTTTACTTTGTCATTATTGACAGGTGCTGGGCTCTCTGTTATGTCTTTTTGTATGTTTTTGGTATATGAAACCCAGGATGTATGACTCTATAGAGAGAATAAAGGGTCCCGGAGGGTCTGGCAGGTGATATGGAGGGGTAATTAGGGCCTGATGTCAAGGAGTTCAAGAAGATAGAAAATATTTTTAAACTGATTGTGGTATCAATTATACAATACTGCTTGGTATGACTGAACTATGGAATGGTACAATGTCTGGATTAGGTCCCAATAAAATGGTTTGGAAGGGAAAATAATACAATTAAAGTAACAATGAGATATTACTTAAAAATCAATTTTAGTTATCTTGATCCTTGAAAATAGAAACATCTCTGATACATATTGAAATATGAGCGTAATCTTGAGGAAAGTACATGTGCAATGATTAAGTTTGCAAATTGAATTTTTTGCTTATTTCCCTCACTCATCAACCAACATTTTACTTGAAAGGACTGACAAACTATTCTTGTCAAGAATCAGATATTTGTCAGACATTTCTAGGAAATGCAGAAATGAACATTTCACCTTAAGATAAACCACAGTCAAAAGTTGTTGCCAATGATAAAATTAAATCTGTCAAATAAAAATTAGAACTAAAATAAAATTCTTTCTTCCACCAAAAACTTGACAAGTTCTCAATATATCCCAATACTTAACGACAATGTGATTTTAAAAATAAACTATATGTAATGCAATGTGTCAGCATTTAAAGAAGTCACAATTTAATGAACTAATATTTGTCAATTTGTTAATATATGAGATTAAATTAACAAATTTCTTGAAAGCATTAGTTCATCATGGGTAAAAAAGCAATCATATACAAAATAAATATATATATACTTATACTATATATATATTTTTAATGGAATCTTGGCCAATGAATTTTTAGCACAAAAGGGTCATTGTTAGCTCTGCATTGCAACTAATATTTAAGAAAATAGTATTTGTCAAATTTTTTAATCAGGTCAAATAAAAATTATTGAAAAAACATATTAAAAGAATCCTTTTTTTTTTTTCAACTGTATATTGGGCTGGATTTTTTTTCTTTTCACTTTAACAAAAACTAGATTGCAACAGATTTCAGAAACATATACAATAGTTGATATATAATGTGACCACATTAATAATAAAATAGAAAGCAGGAATAGCTTAGACAAACAGAAGACAAATTGACTTCAAAACAAAACCCAAAATCCTAAGAATAAAAGATTCATTTATAATGTCGAGTTATGAATTCATCAAGTAGACAGTGATGTTAAACATTTATGCACATAGAAAAGCTTCAAATTGTCAGATTAAAAAACTGGCAAAAGTGCAATGAGAAATAGACAAAATCAGAATTGTTGTAGGCAATTTGGCATCACTCTTTCAATAACAGAAAGAACAAATAGTTAAAAAACTGGATGGATAAGAAAGCCTCGTAGCATAGGCTCTAGTTGATGATTGGGGCAAGGAAAAATAAATAATTAAAGGGTCTCAGATTTCAGGGCTGGCAAAAATATCAACAATCTCTATTTGCAGATAATAGGCTTAATTATGGAGAAAGTGTTATGAAAACTATTTTAAAAACCTACTAAAATTAACTTAGAGCTACAATGTTCACACACACACACACATATATAGAAGGTAAGCAAAGATATATTGCTCCTACAGTTGCTCATACATGTGTAGGTCTAAAGCAAGCAAAATATATTTAAATAGATTTATTATCAGTAGATAGCTATAGACAAGTTCTCTCACTAACCAACTCCAAGCTTTCTCTCTCTCTCTCTCTCTCCTCTCTCTCCCTCCCTCTCTCCCTCCCTCTCTCCCTCCCTC